CTACAGTCCCAGATCGGGCCCGTCAGTATGCGCGCCCGCTTCGTCCCCCGAGAGGGTCCCTCTGTCGGGCGCTACAGCCGGGCCCCCTCCACCCCAGACGCGTCCCTGACAGCATGTCTCTAGGGCCCGCTGATCCCCCAGACACATCTAAAATGTCCCTGGAGCTAACATTGGCTGATCTCTACCAGCTGCTCAAGTCAGACATGAACCAGATGGAGACCCAGCTGTCCGAATCTCAGAACAAGATCGAATGCAGATTAACTGCAGTCGAAGAATGACAAAAGAGTCGTTCACACTCTGGTTCTAACCAGGGTGAATCTAGCTCAAATGTGCCTATCACAGATGCAGTCTCCCTAAGGCCTCCCACCACCTTAGGGATGTGCGATGAAAATAGCGTGACCAAAAATGTGTTGGTCCCTTCAGAACCATCGCAGCCCCTACCAACATGTCTCCTCCCAAGGAGACACACCATCAAAAACCCCTGGTGGTGTCAGGGCACACACCCTGACTAGCCCGGACCCGGACCCGCATCCGGACCTGCTTCCACCTGCTGCGCTTCCCACACGCACGCATGCTCCATGCACCGCATGCTCCGGGCCTGGTTCCTACCCCTTCATGTGACTTCCAGGTATCCCGGAAGTTTTGCTGATATTGTGGCCACTGTGGGAAGATGAGAAGTTAGCTTCCTTCTCATCTTCTTACCCACAGTAGGTTGTGCCCTGGATAGGGCCGGTTATACCAGTAGGCTGTGGACCATAGGGGAGGGTCATGGGGACCTGGGAGTCGTCCCCTGACAGGTGGTTGAGAAGCCACCAACTACTCCAATGCACGTCGATTATGATGCGCATTCAAGGAGGAAAAGAGCTGCACATGACAGGGTGCAGAGCTCCAATACAAACGATGGTGCTAGCTTTGCTAGCACCCATCCTCCTGATCTCCCACCCGATCCAGGACAGATCAGTATTCTCTTGGACCCTCTGAAGGCCCTGATGTGTCGAATCCAAGCAAATCCGGTACTGCAGATGCCTCATGCAACACAGTACCTTCTTGACTTCCTGAGGAGCCATCCAACATGCCTCCAGGGCCTAAAAAGCCCTTTGACATGCTGGATCCTCCTGTACCCGACATAGTCGGATTTCTACCCACTCCAAGACCACAAAAGGGCCTTGGCGCACCTTTGCAAACTGCTGAAAGTGGCAGTTTGCCAACGATTATGCAGCCCTCAGAAGCCATGAATGGCCAACTTGAAAGAATCGTGCTGGCCATAATGGGTCTCACAACCTGTTTCAATGCATCACAATTAAAGAAATCCATCAAAAAGTAGCTGACCTCAGTAAGGGCCTGGTTATCATTCACAATTCCCAGGTCCAATATGAGGCAGTTCCAGATGAGCTGAGAGAAAACTCTCAGCACCCTTGCTCTGAATCGGCTAGAAGCCGATTATTGACTAATGTGCCTGTCGCTGGCACTATTCCACTGAGGCCTTGGGAGGTACTAAACCCTCCAGCTGCCTCAACCTCACGTGTTAATATTAACATGGTTGACACTGGTGTAAAACCTGCTGTAGTACGAAAACCCACCAGGATCATTAATACAGATGATCCTGGCATCCAATATCCTGTTTGGCCTACTAGTGCCAACAGAACTGAGTCCAACCAAGTGTCGGACTCCAGCCCCAAGAGAGTCCCTTCTAAGTCGAAGGGAAAAGAGGTTGATCGGGGCTCGAAGCCCCCTCCAGTTATCTTATAAGACTGCAGGCAAAAAACTTCCCTGCAGTACCTATTGTTATTCAGAGCTTGTCTGAGGCGAGTGATGCAGACCACAAAGGAGCCACACCCTGGAAACCATGATGTGGAACCGGGTCAGCCATTGTGGTCAACAAAAGGGGTGACATTGAAAGGAGGCAAAGACAAATCTTTGCCCCTCCTGCCCCTAGTGAAGCGTTGTAACGGGTCTATCGCCTAGACTCGAGACAGAGAAAGGGGGGAGGGTGGTAGTGAATGCGTGTGTGATGGAGGTTCGGGTTTTTGGGTCCTGGGGTGCTAGCGGGTCTGTTAGAGCCTCAACTCAACACTCACCTACGTCTCTCTTGGACGTCAAGGCCGAGGGTTATGAGGAAAGGGGTCTCAGATGTAAGCAAGTAACTCAGGGGAGGCGTTAGAGTCGTGGATGGCGTCTTTGCCACTTGGATGTAACTTCTGCTTTCTCTTTCACGGGTCTATTCAGTACTAACTTGTTATGTACAAGCTGTTATCTAGTTTATATATGTTTGAAATGGAATGAATGGACTGGGGGAATGTAAACGGGCCGTTAGGCAACCGTAAATGATGAATATCCAATTGGGAACAAAGAAACAATAAAAGAAATATGAATGAATGGGGGATATATCATAACGGGTCCGAAATGGGAAATGTAAAAGTTAACTCCGCAACGCTTCGCCACAGCGCCCGCCTATCCTCCCGTCAGCAACCTCCTCGTCTCCAGCTTTCCAACGAGCCCCTATTCGTCCCATTTGGTGCAGTAGTTGTTGAGATGTGGCCATTGACAGGTACTGTCAAGACCACGTGAGACTCTGAACCATCCGGGCATGGGATTGCCATTCTGGGAAATGCTCCGGGGGTGAAGAAGGAAGGAAGAGCATCACTATCAGGTGGAAAAACGGCTGGGTTGTATGTGTAGGTATGGAGATCTGGAGAGGGGGTGAAATTGGCGGTGTGGTTTGGCGTGGGAATTTTGCTTGGGGTTGTCGGGAATGATGGGGAAAATAGGGAAAAATAAGGAATGAGTTTGTGGAGTGTTGGATAGTGTTAGAATGAACATCGGGAGCGTCAGAGGGTATGTGGTATATGTTGGTGGCCAAATTCCACAGAATCCGACTTTTTGCGGTACACGGAGTTGTCCCCACAACAGCGTCTGTGGAATACAGGACACGAATGGACAGAGATGCTGCATATCTGTATATGCAGGACAATCTCGATGTCCATGCACAGGAACTAAAACGTAGGTTAAACACCTATGGGCGATGCACTGCACCAGACTCGTCTGGTGGACATTACGGTGAGTCGGCCCATCACGGACCGACTAGAACTGGTAGTCAGAGTGGGCAGTTTGGACTGCCCAGGTGCAAGTCACTGGGAACTCCCCAGCTGACAATCCGCCACATCGGGGATTCCCAAGTAGAGAATCCCCCACCAATCCCCATCCCCATACAAAAAAGGGAGCCCAGCACTGCCGCTCCAAGGGTAGCAAGTGCTACCCTTCCCAATGATGGAGTCGTAGAATCCATCATTCAGTCCTATTTGCAGGACCCAAACAGCATAACCCCTGGGGATCCTGAAGGTTTCATGGATGAACTGGTTCGTCAAAGTACGAACCTAGTCAGGATGAGAATCCTGACTCCACTGCCTCCTGATGTGAGGCTGGAGTTACTCAAGAAGAACTCCGTTCCATTCCCCACAACCCGTTGGTCTGGGGAAAATGATCTCGAAAAATTCCAGAGCTGGCTAGTAGAACTCACTTCCTGGATTTCAGGAAATGGGTGGAAGGGTGAGAGCTACAATGAGCTCCACATCGATGCGCTAGCACGTGCCTTAGAGGGTGACCTGAAGCAAATCATGCTTCATGAAGTGAAGCAGGGTTACAAAATTGGGGTCACCCCCACATTCACTCAGCTTCTGACGAAGCTGATGCTTACTTACATGAAGAGATCAGCAGCAGTTCCTGCCACCAAGCTCTTCAAAACTCTCGTGTATGATTCCCAAAAGGGAATCAAAAACTTTTACACAGAACTTCTCTGCACTGCAGAGAAGATGATAACTTGCTTGGACCAGGCAAGTGTCAACAAGCGTTTTCTGAACACTCTCCAGACTCCTTCCCAGTCGCTCACATGATTTCTCCAAGGTTTAGCCGCAACTTACGTTGCCCTCCGAAATCTGTCGAGCGACTGGTACAACTTGCAACACGTGATGTTCCCACGCTAAGTTGTAATGAGTTGTACATAGGTTACGGAATATAATTTTTAGTATTTACGCATGCAGTCATTGCACCCAACCCAACCCATGGAGACTAAGGGAGCACATCCAAGGTTGTGAAGTCAATATCCGGGGGTGCGCGAAGTTTAACCGTTTATATATTACTTGGTTACCAGTCACTTGTTTGTGCCTGGTGGCATAAGTGGTATGGTGTTAGCTGAGGCTATGCAGTCTTTTTAAGTGGCACATGTTCAATTCTCACTTAGGCAAACTTTTTTTGGGCCCTCCCATGGAATAATTGTTTGAAATGGTTGTTTTCTGTACACTAAGGAATGGAGGGTATGAAAAAAAAAAGTTTCCTAAGTGAGAATTGAACATGTGCCACTTAAAAAGACTGCATAGCCTCAGCTAATGCCATACCACTTATGCCACCAGGCACAAACAAGTGACTGGTAACTAAGTAATATATAAACCGTTAAACTTTGCGCACCCCCAGATATTGACTTCACAACCTTGGATGTGCTCCCTTAGTCTCCACGGGTTGGGTTGGGTGCAATGACCGCATGCGTAAATACTAAAAATTATATTCCGTAACCTATGTACAACTCATTACAACTTAGCGTGGGAACATCACATGTTGCAAGTTGTACCAGTCGCTCGACAGATTTCGGAGGGCAACGTAAGTTGCGGCTAAACCTCGGAGAAATCATGTGAGCGACTGGGAAGGAGTCTGAACACTCTCCCCCTTCAGATGAAGGAGGAACTAGTAATGTGCGACTGAATATCGGTCGATTTTTCGTCCAAAGAAGAACTTTGGACTGCTGTACTATGCGTGGATCATGCATATGATTTGATGCGTGCTATCAACGCATATAGAGGAGGGTTAGCACCCTCCAATACTACATCCTCAAACCACTTGACTGCAAAGCTGAGTGGGTCTAATAACCCACTCCCTTCATCGAAGGGAGTTGCTTCCAAGGTGACTGCCACCCGAGTCACCAAATCCCCGCTTCTTACTCTAGTAGTAAGATGCCTTCGATGACAGTGGAATCCATCACGGGTTCATCTGCTTCAAAGGGGCCTTCACAAGCCCCTTACTCCAATGGCAACCAGTATTCGAAGAATACCGGTAATGTGGTTACTCAACAGTGCCCTTCGAATGATTCAAAGGGAAACCCCCTTTGCTACAAATGTGGCAAAATCGGGTATGCTTCGGAGTGCCCGAACCATCCGAATCAGGCAAAAATATTTGCCCTGGGTGTCAATAATGGAGCGCCTGAGCCCATTCCTGCATTTGACAACCAGGATGAAGTTGGAGAACCATCTGGGGTTTCCCCAGATGGCCCAATTGGTGAGAACAGCAAAGGAGCTGCTCACTCAGAAAGTTCCCACACTATCCCGTGCGCGTGGATACACAACACAGAAAGGCAACAATGAAGGAATGGAAGGAAGGGATTGGTTGGGGAGTCTGGGGCACCCTAGGGCAGGGTGCTGAACCCTGACACACTTTAGGGGAAGCTAGGTTGGGGGATTGTGCCCTGGATGCCTCACAAGGGCAGTCAAGGGGTGAGAGTGAAGGGAATAATGACAATGATAATGGTGTTGGTGATGATGAGGCAGCCAATAGCTATGCTGGACCAGTTACTCATCCCCCTTTGCAATGAAGTTGTACACCTGGCACTGTCACTTCTGTGGATTCTTCTCACTCACATCGTTGCTCATCTTTGGCCCTACAGCAACCTGCTTCATCAAGAAAGTGTGCTAGAACTGTGACACATCATGCCAGTGTGAACCATGGGACAGAGTGTGGAGCCATCGAGCCACAAGCCGCATGTTTGCCCCAAACTACACCAGTGTCACTCCCACCCCTAACTGTGGTGCCACAGGTCAACCCTCAATTTTCTGCCTCACTATATTGCCCTGAGTTTCCTACCATGCTGCAATCTGTGCCACAGGCTAATCATGGATCAGATCACACTGGTTGTCTCAACCCTCCTCAACTCCACTCCCATCAGTCCTCCAGGAATCAAACATTCTGATGTTTGAACACCATACAGGAGAACACTTTCCCCATATATTTCAGTAATCCATTCAGCACAAATCCTTTGAACCCTTGATTCCTGTTCATCTACATTTCACCCACTTGCTTATGCTGCCTACATCCTAATTGTTTGTGACATACTACACTTTAATTCTCAATATGGCTACCATGATGTATATAGAACTTATCCCACTGATGTATATACCGCTACAATAGAGTTAATCAACGTTCTTGGAGGGTCAGAGAATGACTTCCACTCATTCCCACAGGTCATGTGCTTAGTAAGGGGTGTTGTGTTGTTGTACAATGTTCCCAAAACGTTTTCAAAACGTTCACAAGGTAAACTGAATTGGAACAAAAGGTCCTACAACTTAGAAAACGTTCTATAGTGTCTGGGGCCTGTTAGGTAAGTCACAAAAGGTTATAACTATCAGACCTAATGAGGGGTGGGAATAGGGTGTCCAAGGTGAGAAACCGGAGTGTTAATGGAATAACCGCTTGCTAATGCTAAAGCTCAGTCTCAAGCTAATGTGCAAGAACTATAATATTACCTAATGCTAAAGCTATAAGGTAATATACAATGAGTTACAATGTATAAGAAATCAGAGTAAAAGAATGTTGTAACTAACCTCAGTCTCAAGCTAATGCGCGAGAACTGAGGGAAAAAGGAAACTAATCCAAATGAATGAATATAGTTTGTGGACTTCGCGGATAAGTCCGAAGTGACCAAAATAAGTAAGAAGAAAAGGTGTTGTGACCAAGTAGTCACGCTACCACGGGAATGTGGCTGTCCGGGCGAGTTCCTCACTCGGATGTGGGAATGTGTCAGGAACGTGTCAGACACATATCTGGGTGACCCGCAAGGCACGCGAAGTCATCTGGGCTCGTAAGGTCAGAGGGGCGGGACTTTAGCTTCAGCGACTCAGGTGGAGCGCTGCACTTCGTTCTTACATTGGTGTCCCAATTTCAGACAGAAGCCTTACAATGAGGAGAGGAGTCTAGAGGGGGAATCCAAGTCGATATACAAACTGAGGTACATCTGGTGTAACCTACACGCATTATAAGCACAAGTAACTAAATAGGACCGGCCCGGAAGGAGTGGAGGATCAAGCATGATATTAATGAATGAAGAAAGAGACAAATAGTTAATATCAGAAAACTTGGTCAACAAAAGGCAAGCAAGAACAATGAGTGACAAAGGAGGAACAATAGTCCGCAAGCGGACAAAAGAGAAAAGGCCATCCAGCCATCTAGCAAGCCATCCGGCTGGCGAGTGGGCAACAATGAAGCGGGCAACCTAGGTTGGAAGGTAGTGCAGATGAGGGTGGCAGGTGGATGGATGGGTGGACAGGTGATGATGATAGTGGGCGGGACGGGCCAAGTGGCACTAGGACATGTTGACAGGAGTGACGGATATGTCAGGTTGTGACACCCAGAGCATGCGGCACGTGGAGCATGCAGGGTGTCACAGCCCTGCAAAGTCCCCACCCTTCTACCACTTCCATCATCTGCACCCCCATTCTTGTGCCCATTATTCACGCCCATTATTCACGCCATTGTCCATCACTTAGCGGTGCCTCCTTCTTTCTCCCACCACCACTTGAGTTCCTCAGCCATTCAGCCGACACCATTTTATTCTTATTCATTCGCTTAACTTACTAGTGGTCGATATTGTCGCCGCTGATCCGCTCCTTATTGACATTTGGTTTATTCCTTTATTGACACTTGGTTACTCCTTTATTGACATTTGATTTATTTGTATATTGACATTCTGATCTGCCACCATATTGGCGCCTAGATTGTCGGCCTATTCATTCTGCCTCCCGGCTTCGCCGTCCTCTGTTCCATTCATTCCTTCTGTTCCATTTCCCTGGTCCTCATCGCTCTTTTAGGTTTGTTGCACTTACCATCCTGCTCCCCTCCCACGCTGGACCGACCAGCCCCTTCTCTGTTCTCCTTTCATACTTATACTTGTAGTTTACTGTCGATGTACCTCAGTTCGAATATCGACTAGAATTCCCCCCAAAGTACTCTCGTCTTAAGTTCGCCTCTCAACTTCATCCCCGCTTAAGTCAACGTCGCTGCAAGGTCCTTCCCACTAAATGTGAACTATGGGACAGCCTAGAACACGTCACCAAATTTCATGAACCATCATGAACCGTCATGTGCTGACAAGGTTCATGACTGCTGGTGACACAATATGACATGATGCCTCATGGAGGTTCATGAACCCTCATGACAGGTCATGACAGGTCATGAAGGTTCATGGAGTGTCATATGTTTATTTTGACCTTTCCCCATCATGTAAAATGCTATAATGTCCCATGATGCATCATGGACATTCATATTGCTCCATGAACATGTATGATGAGTCAATGCATGAGATGTCACAAGCACTTATGAACTGTCATGTGACAGACCTTATTTGTGACAGCACTGCACTGAACTCCACTTTTCCTCCAGCCACCTTTGCTGCTTGGTGTCAGAAACAGTGCTTGAGGGTATTCGTGGGAAGTGGAGCAGAGTATGGCAGTGTGAGTGATCACTTAGCTGATAGGTTACTCCATTGCAATGTGTCAGGGGGTTGGGATGTTGGTTTCAACAACTCAGTGGGAGCATTGTGCCACATGCTCTAGGCTATCCTGTATTCAGGTGTAGTGGAGGGAACCTGGTGGCGATGTAGGCTCAAGTGAAGATGAAGTCAGAGGTGAACTATTGTCAGGGCATACCCTGCCTGACCCCGTGCCACCCTACTCCGCTTCCCCTGCCATCACTTCTTGCTCCTCCTATCTCACCTTCCCCCTCACCTTTCCTTTTTCCTCTTTCTCTCTATTTCTGTTCTATGGTCAACTTCCTCTTTCTCTATGTACCACCGGTGCACGCACATACCTGGGAACGCTGCACACCCCTCCTGTACCACTACACCCTAATGCCACTGCCCCTATTGCCACACCCACTGCACACATTCCCACCCACACAGTGGCCACCCCAGGATCTCCTGCAGAGACACCCAGAGGGGTGCGGCTGTGTGCAGAGATGACATGGCTCCTTCCATGTGACCTCAGCCACATGTATATAACAGCACCTGGGGTGGGAACAGAAGAAGCAGCCTTCTTCTCACTTTCCCACTTCAGACTAAGTGGTTGGGGATGCTCACCCCATGACAGGACCACTGCTATGCATAACCGCTACTCATCCCATCAAGTCCCCCATGCTGGGACTTTGCCACTTTCAGAGCTGTCTGTCCCTGACAACTATGGACAAGAGGACTTGGGGGGTATTCTAGTTGACATTCAAACTGGGGTGCATAAGTAGTATACTATCTACAATGCAGAAATACGAAAGGGAGAACAGAAGAGGGGCTGGTCAGTCTGGCACCTGAATGGGAGGCAGAGCGGTGAACATGACAAACTAAATGAGGGACAAGAACCAGGGAGACAGAGAGTGAGAGAATGAATGAGAGTGGAATGAACAATTAAACAAAGAGGCAGAGTAGGGAGGCAACTGACAACCTGGGTGCCAATATAGTAGCAGATCAAGTGTCAATATTTTACTTATTCATTCTTCACCTGGGTGTCAGGGCCCGGCCTGGGACCCGGAAGTACTCTTATGCTATGTGGGCACTATGCAGGCACTAAGTTATATGACATTGTAAAAAGGTAAGTACAACTTGCCTATGCAGGCACTAAGTTGAGAAGAAGGGTAACCTTCTCAACTCCCTGCATGGGACCCATAAAAGGAAAGACTGTACAGTTCCCCAGTTGAGTGGGAGGGTCCAGGTGGCAGTACTCAGAGGGTGTGGGAACATTCTGGGCAAGCAGCTTGCCCAGAACTGTGGCAGTGTCTGGAGGTCTTCTCACACTTCCGTGCTCACACAAGTGTACAGGTGAAACAACAACTGGTAGAGAAGGAGAGGAGGTGGTGTGGGGTCAGGGCTTGGGTGCTGGGCCCTGACACTGGGTTCTTGTATTTGATAATCCCCACTCATTTCTGCACTGGACCAACTGGCCCTTCCCATGATTTCTCTCCCTTATTTATACCTTGTAAATGCTTTCAGGGACCTTAGTCTGAAATCAACTAGAGCAACCCCCTCTTGTGTGATGCTTTCATATCACTTTCAACTTAAGGGTAACATGTAATTAACCATTATGCCCCAACTGTCATTGTTGTACCAACAATCCTGATTTATGCTCAATCACAATGATTCTTGGGAAGACTCATAGTGATTCATGAAGGTCCATGAGGGTCCATGATCCTTTATGAAGGCTCATGACACTTCATGACACTTCATAGACAGGCATGTAACCACTCAAAACCTGCCTGGAACCACTTAAGTCATGAGCAATCATGACCCCCCATGCAGGTTCATGACATCTCATGAAATTCCATGATGGTTTGTCATGAACTGGCATGACTGTGTATGACACTTCATGAAGTTTGGTGACCATTCATGAAATGTCATGACTTCCATGATGGTTCATGAACTGCCATTACACTTTTTGCAAGTTACTGCTGGGCAGATACGGCTGTGTGCATTGTAGGGGTGGTGGTCACAGACACCCCAGAACAGGCAATATATTGGGTCTCACATGCAGGATAAAATGTTAGGAAAACATACAGTGGAAAGTTGGCTAGGAATTAGGTGATGAGGTTATAGTAAGGATGGTAGAGGGCATCGAGGCGATTCCAACGCACGTTATGCGAAGAGAATCGGTGAGGTATTGACAGAGATATGCGGATTCCAGTTGTGTATCGCGATGATGTCACATGTTCATTGTGCATGCGTGGGAAATGGGGTGCACAGATGGTCCCTGGCATCCCTCAGGCTTCAGAAAAATATTCATTGTTCATGGTGTGACTGGTTGGAAGGATGTGCCAATTTGGGACCATGGCAACATGTGGTTGGAAAGTTAGGAAAATGTGCTGGATATTCCCCACATCAACGCTATCTCACTCAATTCTCCATCAAATTGGATGCGGTCTGTTGCGTTGGATAGC